TTCTGGCCAAGTCCAACAAACCAGGGACCTGCCCTGAACAGTAGTTTTTATCCATATATACACACTTTAGTTTATACTCATTAACATTAACTCCACCCTTGTCCCTCCTTTGTTCCACCCATATTCCCTCCCTACTTCAAGCCTCTGTTTACTGTTTACTTCATTAGCGTGGAATTGCCTATGCATTGCATTCATTTACATGACTTTTTGCTATGAGCGCACTCTCAAGACTGTGAACCCGGTTCTCCTGGTCGATTGTGGTTTCTTGCTGACCCGTTTTGTTGCTGGTGGTGGTCTTTGTTCTCTTTAGCTGATGATCCTGCCACAGCTGTGGAGGGAGTTGCATTCAGTTTCTGTTTTACTTTTTACAGGAGAGGATAAGAAGAACAGGAGTCTCAGGGGAGACACCTATGACCAGTATAAGCTGTCTGGCTTACATATCGGAAGAATGGAATATCATGGAGTATCTGGAGACATGCTTATTTACATGGTCATCTTGGTGATGGTGGCTGCAATACTAATCCCTTATGTCATTCCTTTTATACTTGGCCTCTGCTTCTATTTTAGTAGCATGTTTGCTACAATTTATAAGAGGATTGCTCAGCTAAAGTCAAACCATTCTGATGATATCTTGGACGGTCCAAGGAAAGCCTTGTCATACTTCTGGGATTTGTATGGAAAGATATGGCATGGTAAGTAAAACTTTCTTTGCTTGCAACTGTACATCCAGTTTAATTAGATGAATACCCCCAAAAGTGAAAACTTTGGGCTCTTTAACCCACTGAAAAAGTGGTGCTAGTTTTGCTAGGGGCTGCAGAGTACACAAGAATCTCTGCCCCAAAGAGGTTACAGTTGAAGACATAAAAATGGAATGCACTGGGAAAGGCAGGGCTGTGAGCACATTGTGGCTCAAGTTTCATAGAGGAATCATAGAGATATAAGGCTGAAAGGGACCTCCAGAAGTTGACTAGTCCAACCCCCTGCCTGAGGTAGGATCATCCCTTTCCAAGCCATTTTATACCATCCATAATCTAAACCCATTGTGAAACTATCATCAACCCTGACATAATGCAAGCTATAACACCTAAATTGCCACAGATAAAGGAGAGGAACCATGGCAGCAAATGTCCTGCTTCCATAAAAGGTTGTTAAAATACACTCAAGAGATCTCCAGGTAGAGGGCCAGCTTCTCCCTCCCCCCTGCCCCCACCTACCTCCCCACTACAGACAAAGGCAAAAACCTCCATGGTGCATACCAATCTGACCATGGGGTAAAATTCCTTTGTAACATCAAATATAGTGGTTGGTCTGACCCAGAGCAGAGGGGCAATATCCTCTAGTCCAGGGGTGAGCAATTGTTTTGGGCAGAGGGCTACTTACTGTGTTTTGGCAAGCTATTGAGGGCCGCATGGGTATCCCCACCCCTTGACAGGTGTCCCGCCCCCTGGTTGCCATCTTGTAACTGAAAGTCCCATCCCCTACCCCTAAACTTTGCCACCAGAAGTCCCTTCTCTTGCCCCCTGAAGTACTCCTTTCAGCAAGCAGATTTGCCATCTTGGAACTAGAAAAATACCAAATTATATTCTAAAATGCAAACATCTAAAACATTCATTAATTTGATTTCAAGAGAATATTTTTGTCCTGGTTTACATGTGTTTGTGTAGTGTACATAGAGGTGATTGTATATAACAGCTTAAAATGAAGTCTTACTTTTGTATATTTTGTGTGGGGCAGTGGGTATAGGTTTGTGGGGGGACTGTGGGTGTGCGGGTATCTGGGGGAAGGCATGGGTGTTTCTGTGGGGGGTGGATAGGTGTGGTGGGTATGGGATGAGGAAGCATGTGTGTGTGGATATGTGGGAAGTAGCAGGGGGCCTTCTCAGGGCCGATTTACCTTTGGTCCACCCACTTGTTTCTGGGCCAACCTCCCGCCCTCTCATCTGCCACGCCTTGTTTTTAATGAATTAATGATCTTAATTAGGTGGGAGGCTGCCCATTTTCTTGCCTGAATGCCAGGGGATGCTATCTGCGGCTCCGTACCTCCCCTACACCGTAGCCCATGCCTTGCAGATGGCATCCAGCTGTTACTCTCACTGGCCCCACACAGGGCTTCAGAATCCTCCCATCAGGACCCCCTAAGATCCCTCCATTCAGGCGGCTTACCCAGCCTTCATTTGGGCTGTCTGGCTTCCTGAAACCATGTCCCCTCTTGGGCGTGGTCCCCCCCGGGACCTTTGGCCACACAGGCCCTGGCCTTGACTCCAAGGCCAGTCAGAACCCAAGGCCTCCAGCTCTGGGTGTCCCTCATGGTGGGTACCTGGCCCTTTTGACCATACTGGTCCTGGCCCTTGCACGACCAGTTGAAGGTACTCTATGTCAGGCCTCTGCCATTCTAGCCCCACTGTCACTCCTGGGATCTGCCTTCTGGCCCCTACTAGGGGCTAGCCCACCTGGTTGTGGGAGCTGGGGGTTAAGGAGCCCCGACCCGCCTTTCACCGGGGTGGTAACTGGCCTGGCATTTCCTGGGGGCTCCTGTACCACTGAGAGCCCCACTAGGCCACCTACCCCCAGCAGGGTGCAGTTTTAGGTCATACCCAGGACCAGGAGCCTCCAGACCATCCCCTACAGCTCCTCCCTTACCTCCAGGATGATACAAGCAGCCTTGCAGCTAGGCGATATTGCTGCCTGCCTGCCAGCAGCAAAATGCCCTCCTTATATAGGCAGCCCCGCATCTAAAATGGCTGCTGCAATCAGGCACCTGCTGGCTGCTTGTCCTAGGTCCTTAAAGTGGCAGGCACAACAGTGTCCTGCCACATGGGGCATGGGTGGGTATGGGGTTTGTGGGGGGGGTGGGGTGGCTGGAGTGTGTGAGGGGGTGTGGGGTCTGCATGTATGGCAGTGATAGCAGGGGTGTGGGTGCATGCATATGGTGGGATGTGCATGTGGGACTCACCCTACGAACACACACACACACAGGGTACCAGCATGGCCCCCTGCTCCCGCCATCTGGTGATGCAGCTGGGAACCACATGGTGCTGGAGCAGTGTGGGGGCAGGGAAATGGCTGGGGGTGGGGTGGGGCTGGGCTTCTGTGGCCTGCTGACAACTCCCCCTGGGTCCACCAATGCCCTGAAGGCGGCTTAAAAAATACCCTGACACATGCAGCAGAAATGGGGGGGAGATGGATCTTCAGATAAAATGCTTGTTTCTATTTTGAAAACAATGGCAGCATATGCTAAGAATAGAAGCATTTTAACAGATAATGGCTCTGTTTTCTATTTTTTTAAAAACTTTCTGCCATTGTCAATTTAACTTTGTTTTTTAAGATACTAAAATTTATGGAAGAGCTGTTTGGCAATGAAACATACACCTCATTTTAATTAGACATTGTGCCAGAATTTTGAAATGTCATCAGTAAGGGACATATTTAATTTGCGAGGTCTATGATAAGCCCATTTGCCTTTCCTACAACTCCTTTCTTCCCTCTGCTTAAAATGTAGCTGAGTAACAAGACCTGAAAGATGGGATGTGCACGGTAGCAAAGCCAGAAAGTCTTTTGTTTACTTTTATTTTGGTTTTAGGGGCTTATATGATCCAGTGGGCTGATGATTAGATATGGACCCCTTTGAGTTCCTTTTGAGAACTGCTTATGTGGTGATCAATTCTGGGATTAGTGGACTCCAAGATCATAAACTCAGAACATCAACCCCACACCAACCTCACTTTCCCCTCAAGCACAGCAGTCTCTTTCCAGCTCTCTTTGAATATTGAAGTTGGAAGCACACACAAGGCAGAATCCTGTTTCATTTATATACCCAAATGGCAGTTTCTCAATCACCTAACTGTACTTTAGGTAGGCCCATTTTTCAGGCCTAAGCCCCCTGGCTCCTGGGCAAAATAAGCAGGCTCTGTTCTGGCCAGGAAGGTCTGTGCATTTATCCCTGAAGCCATGTTCTGGTATTGTAGCCTGACAAAAACCCAGGAGGAGAAGGAGGGCCTGTCCATTCTTTAGCCTACGGGTTAGGGCACTTGTCAGGGATATGGGCAACCCATTTGCTTGGCTTCTGCCCTCCTTACACAAAGATGGTTTGAACCTGCATCTCTGACTTCACTGCTTAACCCACACTACCCATAGTACTTTAACCATGTGGCCTAGGTCTCCCAGAGCTTTCCTGGCCAGAACAAGGACAGCTTGAATGGCATCTGGATTGATGCTACACTTCCTTCACACTCTGTTTTCAGTAGAACTCTGTTACAGAGTCAGACATGAATCTGCAAAGGTCTCTTTCTGCATTCTCTCTTTCAAGAAAAGGCAAAGTCCCCATTTTATTTGGTGCATGTTGTACATGAGAAAATATCATACTTTCATCTAGCCTTGTGCTTTTCAATTCTTAAATTATGTTGAAGTGTCTAAATTATGTAGGTCTTGTGCTCAGCAGAGGGCACGTCTACACATTCATTGATGCACAGTTGTTACTGTGCATTTAGTTTAGTTCTTGCCTAATAAAGTACTAACTAAATGTGCAGTAATTACAGTTACAATGCAGTAGTGATAGAACATGATTTTTTTGTGATGCTTACTGCACAGTAGCCTAATAACGCTGTGCAGTAGCGTATTAGCAAGGGTTTTGACTGGCACACTACTATGCAGTGTTTTTAGGCTACTCTGCAGTAAGCAGCTCGTGTAGATACCCAGTGAAATCTTTTAAGAATCTGGGCCTGAATTCTTATGAAGGTACTAAGCATTGGAAGTCCTTTCAATACCTGCTCCATACTGCTTGCTCCTTAGATTTATGCTTCTGTTTAACAAAGAACTTTTATTCAAATTCCAAATAACGTAAAATTAACATTAACAATATTCTACTTTATACTTCAAACAGGTTATGAGCTTCATGGTTTGGAAAACATACCAGAAGGACCATGTCTTATTATTTTTTATCATGGAGCTATTTCTATAGACCACTTGATCTTTGTAGCTAGGTACTTTATCTTGACGCACCGAATGTGTGTGTCAGTAATCGATCGTTTCTTTGTAAAATTACCAGGTAAAATTCTTTTTTATTATATATAGATAAATACTTTCATATATATATATATATATATATATATATATATATATAAAAGTGTGTTTTGTTTTAGTGAAATTTGTATTCATAATATTTGTAAGGTATGAAAATAGCACAGTCACATGTCCCAGTACTGCACTCTGACAGTGAAATGAGGATTTGGGGGAATGTAACTCGCATCTCACAAATTTGTGTTCAGCACAAGTCTTTGTCTCTTTTGTTTTGAGCTTTTAAATCTTCTGGGGTGTTATCATTATCACTGATCTTGTAGCGGGAGCTTTCACTCAACCATTTATGCAATAGAAAGATGTAGAGTTACCTAGCTTGCTGGCTTTTTCAGGAGGGCTTTGATCTCTGAGGAACTCCTCAGCCAGTCCTCTTAAATAACACAGTCCTTAGGTACCACACAAACAAACAAACAAACAAAGACACAAACAAAAACAAGCCTGTCTGCTTCATCTTTGGCTCCAGCACAGCAATATGAAGCTCCCAGCATTGGCAGCAAGAGGCCCCATTCCCTGCAGCTCCCTCCTCCTCTATGTTCTTTTTTTGGGAGCTATATAAGACACCTAGTGGGACATATCCCCGCCTATCCTAATGCCTTGCATTGAGGCTCTTTCAACAGGGCTGACTGTTCCCTCTTAAAGGGACAGACTGCCTTGTTACCGAAGATTTCACTAGAAGCTTAATTTTTGCATTGCTTGCCCTTTCCTTTTAAGTACAACAACCTAACTTGACTTTGTTGCAGAGAGTGTTTTTATTGTGTAAATATTACATAAACCAGTGCAATGTTCAATATGTTCGTGTTTTAAAGAAAACCCAGAATTAGAAACTAATTTATATTGAATGTGACTTGAAAGGAAGAGTTTCTGGGATATTTTATTTTGACAATTTTAATTACACGCGTTTAAAAACATGTTTATTTTGATTTATTTAAAATATATGGAAAAGGAAGGAAGGACAGATTAATATATATGCACGTACAAGTGTTAAACAGGTTATTCTCCATACATCTCTGGACAAAGTTTAATAAATTAATATTTTTATGCTACTATATTTTTCTGTCAAATAAAAGCTCTATTGGTGGCATGATTTAAGTTCTCTTTTAATAATTTAATTGGTACATATTTTCTACAGGTCTTAAATCACTTTTAGAAACTTTTTCAGCTACATCAGGTACAAAGGAAGAATGTTTGAATGCATTGAAAAATGGCCAAGTGGTGGCGGTCTCACCAGGTGGAGCTCGAGAAGCGTACTTTAGTGATGAAACTTACAAACTTGTATGGGGTAATCGTAAAGGCTTTGCTCAATTGGCTATAGATGCAAAAGTGGTAAGTAACACACATGTAAGTGTCAATCATCCCAATGGATCAAAGAGTATTGGCATGTAGAGAGTTACCACAAGGTATATCATACAGTTGGCTTGGCTTTACTATGCATCAGCTGCTCTGTAATAAATTCTGCTGGGCTTTATCTGGGGGTATAAGCTAAATCATAGCAATTTAGCCCTCTTTCTCTGAGATGTTGTCATCAGCTAACACAGCTAGCTCTTTGACATAATTTGTTGGTGTCTTGTTCTTTTAGATGGACTGTGGCCATCACAGAGCTTCTTCTTCCCCACATCTAAATATTCACTTTCCTTTTCTCATCAGTCTCCGCATCTGGGAGATTTGCAGTTCTGGCCTTCTTTTGGACTTCACTTACACCCCATTTTTCTTGCATTTGCATGTGCCCTCATACACATCCAGGTTACGTCCAAACCCTGCTGCTTTGTAAGGTCTTTCCTTCCATACTGTAATGGGTCTGCTTCCACAGGTGGCCACACAACCCCTGGTGGGCACACTTCAACCATTCTTCCACTTCATCTCCCCCTGGCCTTTCCAAGACTCTTCTTTAGGTGCTAGTCCCCATCTCAATGCTCTGGGCTGCAGACCAGGCTGCATGTGCCAGCCTCTGAGCCTGCAGCTCAAGATGCCCAAGTACATCACTGATCTCTGCCACTCACTTCCTCTCTTCCCCGGATCCTCAGCCCCACCTCTTGGACCCTGCATTGGGCCTTCAGACCACAGCCCCATAGGCACCTTCTTTAATATCACCCTCCCTAGGGCACCCTCTCATGGCTTCCTCCTCTCCTTGAAGCCACTGCAAACTTCACAGTTAAACAGGCTTAAACAAAAACAAAGACCTTACTTCTCAACCTGTATACTGCTCAATGCTACATTCTTCTGTTGTAGAGATCTGGTCCACACTGTGCCTCTAGCCCAATATTTACACAAGAAGAATATCTGTATCATCATCCATACTATATGATATCTGTCTGTTCTCCTTTCAATCTATTATTTGCCAGTTCTTTTTCCATACAGTTGCCAGCTGTCTTTCCATCAGATTCCCAACTATTGTTATCTTATCTTTCTTTCTAATCTTATTAATGACCTTCTTACAGTCTTTCAAGCACTTTAATCACAGTTCCTCAAGCTTATTTCCCCTTAAAGAGCTATCCATCTTCGCATAGTGGGCTGGTGGCTGTCATGCCCATGGCTCTTTCCAAACTTCCCTGTACATCCTCATCTTAATGTTCTCCCTGCCAGGTATGGCAGAAATATGCAGACTTTCCCACCCCCTTTCGTATCTTATTGCAGAACATACTTATAAAGTAAGTATATGCAAAACTTTCCAAATCTGACATTCCTCAGCATCCTAATTCCCTGACTTTGTATAGCTCCATTCTGGCCGTCCTCTCTCTTTTTAACTCCTCCCCAAAAAACTACGTATCTGCCTCTGTACCCTCCTATCTGGCTCTCCAGGGACCTAGCAGACCTCCTGAGGCTAAAAAGAAAGGCCTACAAAGGATGGAGGATGGGAGTCACCTCCAAGGAGGATTATTCTGCACTGGTCTGGTCCTGTAGGGAGCAGACCAGGAAAGCCAAGGCTGCAAATGAACTCCAACTAGCTTTGAGCATCAAGGACAATAAAAAGTCCTTTTTCAGATATGTGGGGAGCCGGAGGAAGAGCAGGGGCAAC